CGAGCGGCGGCGGCCGCCGGTGGGAGCGGGACGGTGCGGGCGGCGGCGAGCGCGGCACCAGCAGAGGCCACTGCGCACCTCCGCAAGCGGGCGGGCGGCCCGGCGGTAACCGGAGGCACCTGAGCCCCCTCCCCGCAGCGCGGACGCCGCGGGAATCACCTGCCGGGCCGGGCTGCGGGAGCCGGGGAGCCTTCCCGGAGGCGGTACCGGAGAGGAGGCGGCGGGCAACCTGTGGAACCGGGGAGCGTGGGGAGGGGGAACTTTGCCTGGAGACGGTGCCGCAGGACGTGAGGGGTCTGGCGGCGTTTCGGTGGCTGTACTTCTCACACCTTTTCCCATTGTTACCTTTAATGATCCCTTATTGGATCCCGCTCCTTTACGGGCTGCGCAAGGCGTAATCTCCTCCAGATGAAGCGCGGGGAGCGCAGGAGAAGGCTGGCGGAAAAGGCCCTTGCAAAAGACCGTTAATACCCTAGAAGGCTCTCCGGTTTTGCAGGGATATTTTCTGCTCCTTTGGCAAAACGTTGGCTTTAATAACTAACTTTTTTTCCCCTCTTCTTGCCAGTAACAAACTAGTAGAAAGCTTGGAAGGAAAAAAAATAAATCTGGTCTTGGACGTTGAATGCTGGGATATATATATTTTTTTTTAAATACTTCCCCTGTAGATTGAATCCTGATATTTTAAAAGAAGGCTCTGTGCAAGTGGAATTTGGAAAAAAAAACCCTGCTGTTTAAACGAGTGGTCTTTAGCGACTTGGAAAAGCGAGAGTGGTTAAACTGATATTAAATGGTGTAATTGTCCTGTTGCAAATCACATGAGGCAGAAATGTCTGTGGTAGTTCTCATCTCAGACACTGCTGGCGTAACGTGTGTGCTGACTCCTGTTGACAGGGAACGTATTTGTTCTCTCCCACAGTGCACCCTTTGCAGATTCCCACTCTAAAGCAGATTTTTTTTTCTTTCACCTTTTTGAAAAACATTATACTCAGACTCAAAGATCCTCAGAGTACGTGTAATAGATAAGTTGCATTTCTGATGTGTAAAATCTTATCACGTGATGATTCTTCTTTTGGTATTTACTGCTCTGCTGACAGCTCACTGTAGTTACAGTCGTGTTGGTTGCTCTTTGCTACTTTGAAAAACCCTTTATGGTCTGAGGAAGTCAAATTGAGAGGTGAAGTTTTATCTGTTGAAGCCAAATACGTGAATTAAGCCAGCAAAGGGGGAGTGTTGTGCTGAAAACATGCCAAATAAAACCTTCATTGAAGCTGACTGTTGATTGGAGTGGGAATTTAGCAGTAATGACATGGAAATCTTGGAAGTTCTGGTGAGCCCCTGCTTTCCTCTTTTGTAGAAGGTGCTTTTATGGCGTCTGCATGAGTACTGTCCTCTTGTGTCCCTGGTAAGGACCAGAGCCAGGCTTTCCCTCACCCTGAGGGTGTTTGTGCCAGTTATTTAGAAGGGAGTGACTGAGGAGGAGGAGGCTTTCTTGATCCTTTGTCTTGATGGAGATATTTCATATAGAGTGGATGAGCTTCATCTTGATTCACACTGCTTTCTGCCTGATTGTCGTCAGGTTTTCTTAAATCTGTGGCAGGACACTCAAGTCCCTCCCTGCTGGAAGGAGAGTGAATTGGGTACAGGTGTTCCACATCATGCATAAAGTGCTCCCCTTTGTTTTAGATGGGAGGGTGGTAGGGCTGGGGTTTGTCCCATGTTTTGTGTGAAGCTTGATCTTTTCAGGTGCTTGGAAGAGTGTTGTTAGCTTGGTGTAAAGGAGAAGTAGAAGAACCCCTGGCTTCCAGGATGAGGTTTAGCTGTGAGACCTGGGGCTCTGCTTGTCAGGACTGAAGTGCTTCTTGCTGTGTCCGGAGCAGGGGGTTTTTAATGCAGAAAAAAATCCCAAACATGCTGACATTTTGGTGTTGATAAAAATGGTGCGAATGAGCATAAGTTATAGGTTTGGAAGCCCGGATTCTGTGTATGTAGCCATGGATGTTTGAGTGACATTTGATCCCATCTATAAATAGCCAGTCATTGCTCTCTGAAAAGAGTGTAGCTGAATTATTTCAGGAAAAATGTGTATAACTTCATTTATTTGTGTGGCTGTAGATGTTAGTCTGTTTCCTAGTCTGCTTTGTTGCTTTGCAAATAAGGTAAAATGAGCTTCTGATTTTTGAATTAGGACAATATTTGCAAATAAGGTAAAATGAGCTTCTGATTTTAAAATTAAGACAATATTCTGCTTAACTGAGGGAATAAAAAAAAAATCAGTAGTAAGCAACAAGGATCAAATAAAAAAAAAAATCAGTAGTAAGGAATAAGGATCAGCTGAAGGTAAATCATGCCTCTTGTAACTGATTGCAACTAATTGGAGATTAGCATAAAAACTTTGATCTATACAGGATGGCATTATAAAAATAAAATTGAAGTTGGTATAACTTTTATTTTTCAATAGAAAAGCTGTGATAACCTGTACACACCGTTAAGATTGCAAATTAGATTACTCAGAAGCAGGAAATTTGTTCTGTCTCTCCCTGATATTCTTGAAGTCCTTGGAATCGTTATGTATTTTGTTGTTAAAGGGCAAACTGGTAGTTCTGGAAGTCCACAATCAAATGTAATGAGAAACTGGTGGGCATGAAAGCTGCAGGAGACTCCCAGGGCTGAACAGGTCTTTTTAGCAACACGTTGATTACAGATCGTTGGTACAACACCTGCTGCTCTACAGGATGCTCCTTCTATGGGCAGAGAGTGCTGCATTGAAAGATGGGAGCATGGATCATCCGAGTTCCTTAGAAACCTAAGGTTGTAATTTGTTTCTGTTTTGTATGCGCTTCTTGATTATTGCTAAATATATCACAGGTTAAAAATAGAGTAGAAGTATTCAGGTCTCAGTTACATCCCAAGTCATTTAAGCGCAGGTCTGCAGTTGATGCTCGGGTTCCATATAAATACAGTGTTCTGGGTCTTGCCTGTGAGCTGAGAGGAGCAATTTGATTGCTCGTGGCTCCTGAGAGGTGAAGACACTGATTGTACACACACACACACACAAATATATATATAGGCAACAGTGAAAAGGTCTGTTGATGCCGAGCATGTTTCTCGTGAGGGTGAACTATTGCTCTGATA